TGACATCATTTGAGTCTGGTGAGATTGATGGGAGGTGCCAGCCTCATCTTCTTGAACTTCCCACACTCCTGTTGGGGGCTAAGAACACGCTTATCTCTCTGAGCCTGGCCTTCATAAGTCCATTCCATCACAAAACCTCAAATTACACAGAAGACTCTACAGTAATCACATTCATGCAAATAGAAATACAGGTGTCCTTCAAACCTCAGCTAAGGTGTGGAGGTTGGGGAAAAAAAGTCATAGCAGTAAGGACAGCCCTATTTGTTATCTCACTTGAGCCCTCCATGCATTTGGTTGCTGCCTGAGTAGGGCTTCTGCTGAAACTCTGAATCTGTTAGGCTCTTAAGGGTCTTTTCCAATGCTGAGTTAATATTGGCATGAAAACTGCTGTTCCTGTTGTTGATCCTGGTCCTGCCTTTACTGTGCATCAGTGCCCCCCACCTGACTTCCCTCCAGGTTAATGAGTGATGTAGACTAACACATTGTCTCCATCTTGAAGCTGCCTTTGGACAGTATTGGGAATAAGGGATAAGTAGCACTTTAACAACAATTTAGCTAAGGATGGCTTAATTCTGTCTGTCTCATGGCTGAAAATGAGATGAAGACAATGTCACAGAAACAGAGAAACAAATGTTGCCAGGAAACATATATAGCCTATAGAAAATAAGGCTTGAATAACACAGGTAGTCAGGAGTTGATGAAGTCAAAGGGCACTGGTTCGCATCCTGTTCGTAGTTTTGCTAAGGGCAAGAGCTAGGCTTGTTCAAAAATTATTCATTTTAAATAAGCGCAAAGAAAAAGATAAGGTATTTATCTTTGTTTTTCTCATGGAGGTTGGAATTTAGATTTGCTCCCTTTGGGAAAAGAGAGAGTTTGCATTTATCATGTATAAATGCAGTGTTGATCTTTGGGATTCTCTGTGTTTTATTATAGTAAATGGCAGTGAGCTTTTGAACACCTGCTGCCATCAATGGGGTAAAATGTGCATGCTTCATTAGCAAAGCTGATTGAGAAGCAAGACAAAACTTTTCTACCAGGTGTCTAGGCCAGTGATTCTCTTAAGTATAGACCACAGAGCAGGTGGTCCATCCAGCCCCCAAAGTTCAACGGCCAGAAACCACTCACTATCTCAGTCCCCACCATCCTTCATATGCCCTGACAGTCATGTAAGTCATAGTAATAGATCAGAAGCTGGAACCTGGTTCACTGAAGTGTACAAGATATAATGCAAGTGATAATCTTTGAGTGAGATGGGTGGTCAGTAAATTTGAAAAATAAATACCAGTTATAAAATTCAGAAAACTGACAGTGAACAGGGCTTGAGTACAGTTAATAATTGAGCCCATCTGTGTTGTGTTAAATGAAATTGTGATCTTGCACAAAAAAACCCAAAAGAAAAGTGCAAGTAGGAAATAAAAAGATGAATATTAAAAAAGGGATCTCTTTATGCTGGAGATCCACTCATCTCTAGCCCCTCAATATGTTTGCTAAAGAACATTCTTGACCAAATTTGTGCTAAGAGTTGTTATTATGACATGGAATACATAAAACAATTCAAGTGGTAAAAACTTAATTTGGGGTTACATTTTTGGTACAAAATTTACTCTTAAAAGACCCTTTAAAAATAAAGGGGATGAGAAGGCAGATGGAAGTGTAATTGTTTTATTTGTCAGAAAAATGTAAACATCCATTTTTTAAAGACTAAACTATAGCAGAGGAGATATTCAACTGGATGGTCCCCCCATTTTCCTGATTTGTATTTAATAGTCTGTGATTGCAGATAGTTTGAGAAACACAGGGGACTTCCGGGGGAGGTATGGTGAACTGAAGACAGCGAATAAACCAATTCCTTGGAACCTCTCCTGATAAGGAAAGGATGGGGGATCACCCATATGTGCTCCAGACAGCTGCTCCTCACGAGAAGACCACAGAACAGTGAAGAGATAAATGTTTGTAACCTTAGAGGAGTGGTTTCATCTACTGTGGTTAAGTGAATAAACCACTGTTGGGTGGGCGTACTTAAAGATAAACCATAATTAATAGTTAGTTTGTAATTCATAATTCATTGTTTATACAGCTATTCCCAAACTTTTCCTTTACTTTGTGATGCTGTTTCATAATTGAAAGCTTTTGAGGATGAGTATATAAATATATAAGCCAGGGATTGGCTGCATGGTATCTGGGGACATCATGGTAAACATGTCAGTACGTACTCCAAATGACTTTCACACTGCTAGAAGTAGTCTCCTGATTATATTTTAAAATGCTCAGTACATTGTTGTTTTGAATTAGTTTTCTATCAAGCCTTATTATATCTGGACAATGCAGAAAGCCCATCGCAGCTCATAGTAACTTCCCAAGAGCCCCCCACCCCTAAAACCTGAAATCCTTTTAAGTGAGGTTTCCAAGTATTGAAATAGACATCCTACTTCAAAAGTGTGAATTCTTCATCACAGAGTAGGGGGCCTTCTACAGTATAATCAAGGAGTTGGATGTTGAATTCCCTGCCAGCGTAAAAACCTTTTGTATTCCTGTCAGGCCGAGCCCAAGAACAACAATGAAACAGTCCAGTTGAGTAAAGTTCCTTTATTTGCTTACCCCTTAT